CAACTGATCTATCTGCCTTGGTCTCCCAAAGTGCTGGGATTACAGGTGTGGGCCACTGTGCCCTCCCTATGTATTCATTTCTTGAAATCACTTGCTGGCCAGGCCAGTTGTGGTGCTGCATGCCTGTCCTATAATCCCAGCACTTTGGAAGGCCGAGGCTGGAGGATCTTTTTTTTTTTTTTTTTTTTTTTTGAGACGGAGTTTTGCTCTTGTTACCCAGGCTGGAGTGCAATGGCACGATCTCGGCTCACCGCAACCTCCGCCTCCTGGGTTCAGGCAATTCTCCTGCCTCAGCCTCCTGCGTAGCTGGGATTACAGGCACACGCCACCATGCCCAGCTAATTTTTTGTATTTTTAGTAGAGACGGGGTTTCACCATGTTGACCAGGATGGTCTTGATCTCTCGACCTCGTGATCCACCCGCCTCAGCCTCCCAAAGTGCTGGGATTACAGGCTTGAGCCACCGCGCCCGGCCTTTTTTTTTTTTTTTTTTTTTTTTTTTTTTTTTTTTTTAAGGCGGAGTTTCACTCTTGTTACCCAGGCTGGAGTGCAATGGCGCGATCTGGGCTCACTGCAACCTCCGCCTCCTGGGTTCAGGCAATTCTCCTGCCTCAGCCTTCTGAGTAGCTGGGATTACAGGCACGCACCACCATGCCCAGCTGATTTTTGGTATTTTTAGTAGAGATGGGGTTTCACCATGTTGACCAGGATGGTCTTGATCTCTTGACCTCATGATCCACCCACCTCGGCCTCCCAAAGTGCTGGGATTACATGCGTGAGCCACCACGCCTGGCCCTGGAGGATCTATTGAGGTCAGGAGTTGGAGACCAGCCTGGGTGAGATTGCAATCTCTACCAAAAAAATTAAAAAATTAGCTGGATGCAGTGGTACAACCCTGCATAGTATAGCTACTTGGGAGGGTCAGGTAGGAGGATCGATTGAGGCCAGGAGTTCGAGTCTGCAGTGAACTATGATTGCCCCACTGCACTCTAGCCTGGGCGACAGAGTGAGACCCATTTCTAAAACGAAGAAATTGCTCTTGTGACAATTAGCTATAAATTAATGTCATAATACTGCACACAGTACTATAATCCACACCCTGTAGTTGAATGATGCATGGCCAACCACTAATCAATGCTATTTCTGTAAGCCAATGAGAAATCCTGACAAACAGCTTTGTATCAGTCCACTCCCTGTCCCCTTTTTTGCTTCTAAAAACCTGCTTGTAGCAAAAGCCGAACAGAGCTCATATCCAAGGTTACTTGGGCCTGAGTCTTTCAGGCAGCTGTCTTCACTTTGGCTCATGTAAACTCTTTAATTGTTTAAATTTTGAGTCTCAGCCTCTTTCTTTCTCTCCCTCCCCCGAGATGGAGTCTTGCTCTGTTGCCCAGGCTGCAGTGCAGTGGTGCCGTCTCAACTCATTGCTGGAGTGCAATGTCATGGTCCCAGCTTACTGCATCTTCCACCGCCCGGGTTCAAGCAATTCTCCTGCCTCAGCGTCTCGAGTAGTTGGGACTACAGGCACACGCCACCACACCTGGCTAATTTTTGTATTTTTAGTAAACACGAGGTTTCGCCATGTTGGCCAGGCTGGTGTTGAACTCCTGACCTCATGATCCGCCCGTCTTGGCCTCCCAAAGTGCTGGGATTACAGGCATGAGCCACTGCACCTGGCCTCAGCCTTGTTCTTTGAGGTTTACATCTGTTTCCATTTTACAGATGAGAAAACTGAGGCACAGCTGTGCCTCACTTTACAGGTTAGGCTTCTTACCTGCCTGTATCATGCAGTAAAACCCAACTTGTGTCAAAGGAAAATAGATATATTGTAGTGAGAGGGTGTGGAAGAGACTGTTTTCTGCTTCTGTGGATTTTTAGTTCTTGTTTTGCTTTGCTCCAAACTTTACTCATTTGCATTTGATTGATGTGAAATTGAAATTTCCTTCTAGAAAACAAAACTTTTTGGGGGCTACTTGCCTTATCTTTTTCCACACCATGGAGCTCTGCCTGGGACCTTTTCCACAGTTTTTGGAGACATTGTTCTAGTTCTTTCCCTGCCTTTGGTTTCCAGGGGCAGTAATGTCACCGCGGGTGTGGACAGTAGGGACTAGCTGAAGGTTGCTTTAGGGGAGGTGGGCAGGGCTTTTCTTAGTGAAGTCTGGAAACCAGAGGTGAGGAAAGAGGTGGCCCTGGACTTTTCCTGGCTGCAGGGGTCCCAGCACACACCACATGACCACAGGACATGTGTGTGGGGGTGTTATTGAGGGCCAGGTATTCCAGGAGATCCTTGGTGACAGCGGACATAGCCACAGCTGTGCTCTGTCAGAAATGAGCTCACCCAGGCTTGGCGCTGTGGCTCACGCCTGTTATCCCAGCACTTTGGGAGGCTGAGGTGGGCGGATCACAAGGTCAGGAGTTTGAGACCATCCTGGCCAACATAGTGAAACCCCCATCTCTACTAAAAATACAAAAATTAGTCAGTTGTGGTGGCATATGCCTGTAATCCCAGCCACTTAGGAGGCTGAGGCAGGAGAATCGCTTGAACCCTTGAGGTGGAGGTTGCAGTGAGCCAGGACCATGACATTGCACTCCAGACTGGGTGACAGAGTGAGACTCCATCTCAAAAAAAAAAAAAAAAAATCAGCTCACCCACAGCCTTTCCTTCTACTACCTTGTTTAACTGGTGGGAGGGTGTGCTGGTTTGTGTTTGCTGGTGAGCCCAGCAACTGAACCCTTCTTTCCAGGCCTGGCACCCGGCCTTTATCAGTTCCATGGCCCTGGCACAAGTGGGCAGCCTGCTTCCAATCCAAGCAGGCAGCTTTCTGCTCATCTGCATGTAGCCTCTCGGACAGACCCTTTGCTGTGCGCCGCAGCACGAAGCTGTGTGAGCCGGAGCTGAGCCTGTGATCCCCACGGGCTTCTCCCGAGGCGCACCTCTCCTGAGAGGGAGAAAGCTGGTCTGTCCGGCCCATTCTGGGCTCGGCCTCCCCAGCCGTTGCAGGGCTGGCTTGCCGAAAGGTCTGGGTGTTAACACAGCACTCCTGTTCTCTCTCTCTGAAGGCCCTTTATGCTGGCATGAATTCCCTTTCTCATAGAGATCTGAAAGCGCTTTTGACTAAATGGGTCACCTTTCTGAGTATTTTCATAAGGCTGGTCAGCCTTTACCATGCCAGACAACTTTTCTGGAATTTCCTTTCCAGAAAAAAAAAAAAAAAAGGCTACTAAAGAGGTTGGAGTTATTTGGAACGCAGGGTGGAATTTTGGCATTCGAGCTATAGGGAAACGGGTGGGGATTTGTGGTAGGCACTATGTAAATTTACCGTGGCTCATAAATTCAGACTTTCAGATGAAAAATGGCAAGCAGCAGTCAGCTTTCCTTCGACAGACAGGAGCGGTGCTCCCCTCCGCTGAGTGAGACTGAAGGAGAGGCAGGCCTCCTAGGGAGGCCGGGGCAGGAAATAAGGTTTCTCAGTTTCCCTCGTGTACCAAGAAAATAAGTGCTTATCGTGCTTGTACAGTACTTCTTGTGTGTCTCACCCAGATTTCCCTGTACCTCCCTGAAATGGTTTATTGGATTCCAGGGACATGAGAATGATTTGGCATCTACAGCTTATTGTGGGAGCAGAAGCCGCTTGGTGCTTCTTGCCCAAGAACAAATTGATGGTTCCCGTGGTGTGGGGTAAAGAAGGCCAGAGTATGGGACCAGGACCTGTCTCTGAGGGGACCTGAGGTGCAAGGCCTTGGAGCTGAGACCCCAAAAGGCCTTTGCGAGTCTGTAGTTGTATCAGTTGAGCAGAGTTCATGGTTCTGTTTACAAGATTCCCTCTCAGCAGAGGCAGGGAGGGGTGCGTGCTGGAGGACTGGCGATGTGCTGCTGCTGGGATGGGGCCCTGGTGGAACTTCCAGCCATCCAGGGACAGAACCTGGAACGTGTTCTGAGTGAGGTGCCTTGGCAGAGCTTGGCTTGAAAGCACCTGGGCAGTGGCTTGTCACATTCCTGATCTCTACCAAAGGAGGCAAGCTGGCACCTGGGGGATGGCTCTCTAGTCAGGGTGTCCTTTACGGGAAGTGATCCCGGTGTCACGTTACACTTCCTGCAGGCATGCACCTCTTACCTAATTGCCTCCCCTTTTCCCGGGACATTCATGGGGAGTCACACCCAAGGTTGGGGGACCTGAGGTCCTCTCCCGGCCACCTAACACCCTGTTTCTTTTCTTTCTTTCTTTTCTTTTTTTTTTTTGGAGACAGAGTCATGCTCCGTCACCCAGGCTAGAGTGCAGTGGTGCCATCACAACTTACTGCAGCCTTGACCTCCTCGGCTCAAGCGATTTTCTTCCCTCAGCCCTCCCCAGTAGCCAGAATTCCAGGCACACACGCCAAAACACTTGGCTGATTTTGTATTTTTTTGTAGAGATTGGGTTTTGCTGTGTTGCCTAGGCTGGTCTTGAACTCCTGGGCTCAAGCAATCCGCCTGCCTCAGCCTCCCAAAGTGTGGGGATTGCAGACATGATCCACTGTGCTTGGCCACACTGCCCTCTTACGGAGCCATATCGGTGTTGTAGATTGCCTTCTTACTCTCCCACAGATCATCACTGCTCCAGGGGCAGGCGCTGTGTCTCTTGTTCACCTCTGTGGCTCTGAGCTTGGCCCTTGATAGGAATTTAATAAATAACTTGTTAAATAAACAGTCTCCAGCATAATAGGTTGAGTATTAAGTCTGGTACATTGACTTATTTACAATGTGTTTGTTTTCGAAACATGCAAAACAGTGGTTCTTTGCTGCCTTTAGTGAAGTGGGAGTTATATGTGGTAGGCAGCTGGCTCTGGGATCCCCGTAGAGCACTTCGCTTTTGGACTGTGATGCTGAACTTAAAGAACAAAGCACTTCATGTTCGCTCTCTGGGTATCTGTGAGTTGCTTCAACAAGGCCTTAGAGAACAAGGCCTTTTCCAGCTTGCCAGGTGAAGCTCAGAAAATGAATTTAATAGGAAATTACTGAAAGTTGTGCTTGCTTGAGCAGCACATATACTAAAATTGGAATGAGTCAGAGAAGATTAGCATGGCCCCTGCACAAGGATGACACGCAAATTCATGAAGTGTTCCGTATATATATATATTTTAATTTTTATTTATTTCTTTATTTATCTTTCTTCTTCTTCTTTTTTTTTTTTTAAGATGGGGTTTCACCATGATGGCCAGGCTGATCTTGAACCCCTGACCTCAGATGATCCACCCACCTCGGCCTCCCAAAGTGCTAGGATTACAGGCGTGAGCCACCACACCTGGCCTATTTATTTATTTTTGAGATGTAGTTTCGCTTTGTTACCCAGGCTGGAGTGCAATGGCACGATCTCGGCTCACCGCAACCTCTGCCTCCTGGGTTCAGGCAATTCTCCTGCCTCAGCCTCCTGAGTAGCTGGGATTACAGGCACGCGCCACCATGCCCAGCTAATTTTTTGTATTTTTAGTAGAGACGGGGTTTCACCATGTTGACCAGGATGGTCTCGATCTCTTGACCTCGTGATCCACCCGCCTCGGCCTCCCAAAGTGCTGGGATTACAAGCTTGAGCCACCGCGCCCAGCCGGTCTTGATCTCTTGACCTTGTGATCCACCCGCCTTGGCCTCCCGAAGTGCTGGGATTACAGGCTTGAGCCACCCATATATTTTTTTAAATAAAAATATAAAATTAAAATTAAATAATAAAAGGAAATTACTGAAAGTCACGATCATAGTAAGTTTCATTAGTTATAGCGAATATAGAGAGAACATGTCTTAAGTACCAGGTATTGTGATAAACACTTCTTACTAATAGCCATATGAAACATTCTTGCAATTCTGAGAAGTAGTTATTGTTACAATTCCTGTTAAGCAGATGAGAAAACTGAGGCATGCCTAGATTAGCCAGTAAGTGTGTGGTTCTTACTCAGATCCTTATCTGAGATGTTACTCCTTCTGTTTTACTGCTTTTCTAAGGAAAGCTATCAGCTCAGTATGTCTTTGAAATTTACTTCTTTTTGAAACGATGTCTTGTTTTGTCACCCAGGCTGCCATCTCGGCTCACTACAACCTCCAGCTCCTGGGTTCAAGTGATTCTCCTGCCTCAGCCTCCTGAGTAGATGGGCCTACAGGCACGTGCCACTATGCCCAGCTAATTCTTATATATATATTTTGAGACCAAGTCTCGCTCTGTCACCCAGGCAGCAGTACAGTGGCATGATCTTGGCTTACTGCCACCTCTGCCTCCCAGGTTCAAGCGATTCTCCCGCCTCAGCCTCCCGACTAGCTGGGATTACAGGTGCATGCCATGGTGAAACCTTGTCTCTACTGAAAATACAAAAATGCCCAGCTCATTTTTGTATTTTCAGTAAAGACAAGGTTTCACCATGTTAGTCAGGATGGTCTTGATCTCCTGACCTCGTGATCCGCCTGCCTCGGCCTCCCAAAGTGCTGGGATAATAGGAGTGAGCCACCGCACTTGGCCCTAATTTTTGTATTTTTACGAGAGTGGGTTTTGCCATGATGGCCAGGCTTGTCTTGAACTCCTGAGTTCAAGTGATCTGCACGCCTCGGCCTTCCAAAGTGCTGGGATTACAGGAGTGAGCCACCCTGCCTGGCCTGAAATTCACTTCCATTAAGTTTTTTTTGAACATTAAAAAGTTACATGTGTAGTTCTTTGCAAAAAATTGCAAGAACACAGAAAAATGTAAAGAAAAAACATGACCTGTGTAGAATTTTAGTGACTCTTTTCTACTTTTAGGGAATTTTGCTTACAGCTGTCTTTTTTTTTTTTTTTTTTTTGATACGGGGTTTCGCTCTTGTTACCCAGGCTGGAGTGCAATGGCACGATCTCGGCTCACCGCAACCTCCGCCCCCTGGGTTCAAGCAATTCTCCTGCCTCACTCAGCCTCCCTAGTAGCTGGGACTACAGGCGTGCGCCACCATGCCCAGCTAATTTTTGTATTTTTAGTAGAGACGGGGTTTCACCATGTTGACCAGGATGGTCTCGATCTCTTGACCTCGTGATCCACCCGCCTCGGCCTCCCAAAGTGCTGGGATTACAGGCTTGAGCCACCGCGCCCGGCCTACAGCTGTCTTTTAATCAGAATAGGGAAGAAGGAGATTCCTTTCTCAGGAAAAAAAGCGACTGCGGACTGGAAATGTTTTCTGAAATCATTTTGGTCATCCTGATGGTTATAACGAGATTCATCCTCAGTTGAGTTATTGCTGAGCTTTGGCCAGCCTTAAAAGGAAAGGTCTTATTTGAGTCTCATTGTGGTTTGCAAGTCTCTCTTGGTCTAGAAATATGTTTGGTCAACCACAGAGTGGAGGTGTTCAGCCACTTTCTGTCTCTCTCTCTCTCTCTCTCTCTCTCTCTCTCTCTCTCTCTCGACGGAGTTTCGCTCTTGTCACCCAGGCTGGAGTGCAGTGGCATGATGTCAGCTCACTGCAACCTCTGCCTCCTGGGTTTAAGCGATTTTCCTGCCTCACCCTCCCGAGTAGCTGGGAATACAGGCATGCACCACCATGGCTGGCTAATTTTGTGTTTTTAGTAGAGACAGGGTTTTGCCATGTTGGCCAGGCTGGTCTTGAACTCCTGACCTCAGGTGATCCACCCGCCTCGGCCTCCCAAAGTGCTAGGATTACAGACATGAGCCACTACGCCCAGCCCCACTTTCTGTCTCTTAAAAGTTTTTAGGGCCCACTTTTATTGGGACTGCCAGGGTCTCTTAATAATAGTTATTATACTTGGTAACTATTGTGACCTTGTCTCATGGGCAGCCCAGCCTAGAAACTCACTCAGCTCCATTAGCTGTTTAAACAGGTTTCAGATGTGAGCCTGACACAATGTTGTTGGACAGCTTGCTTCACCCTTAACTGCCTGGGAACTTTGAGAAGTCTGAAAATTACATGTAGCCCTGAGGTCTTCACGGTATTGCTCTTTGGAGACACCACTTTCCCAGTAGCCTGCAGGACACCGGGCCCATGGAGCCATCCTGTCTCAGCCAAGAGGCAAAGGACATGCAATGGAAACCACTTCTGGATACAGATCCAGCCACTTCCGGAGTGCTCAGGAGCATGGGTCAGATAGACCCTGCTGCTTTCTAGCTGGAAGACTAGGGGAAAGTTGTTTGACCTCTCTGAGTTTGTGTCCCAGGCTATAGCAGTACCCGCTTCCTGGTGTTGTTGAACATAAAATGATGTAATCCTGATAAATCACTTGGCCCAGTCCTTGGAGGTAGTGGTGGGGGCTGGTGTAAGTGCCTCATGAATGGTGGTCATCCTACTCCCCCACCTCCTTTCTCTCTTCTTTCCCCTTCCCCATCTTTCACACTCCTAATTCCTGGACCTGGGGGTGGTCTCTCCAGTCTGGAGGAAGAAGCGACCTAATTATCTAGGAAGGTGGAAGGTGGTTGGGAATACTCCCAGAAATTGGTCAAAGATGGCTCCTTCTACCTAAAAGACTGTTTTTAGAAGAAGCAGCAACCTGGGTTTTTGGATAACTGTTGAGTAGGAACCATCGTGAGTGGCATTTTTGCATTTCTGGTCTTCTGGCCAAGTCTCCTCTTTATTTTATTTTATTTTATTTTTTTATTAAGGAAGCTCCATTGCCCTCCCTCACCCTTTCTTTTGTCTCCTGTAATGTTCTTCACTTCCATTTCTTCCTTTTTTTCTTGTTTTTTCTTTCTTTTTTTGAGACTGGATCTCATTCTGTGGCACAAGCTGGATTGCAGTGACACAATCACAGCTCATTGCAGCCTTGACCTCCAGTGCTCAGGTGATCCTCACATCTCAGCCTCCCATCTGAGCCTCCTGAGTACCTGGGACCATGGGCGCACACCACCACACCCAGCTAACTTTTGTATTTTTTGTAGAGACACGGTTTTGCCATGTCTCCCAGGTTGGTCTTGAACTCTGAGATTACAGGCGTTGAGCCTCCACATCTGGCCTTCCCTCCCATTTCTTTTTTTTTTTTTTTTTTTTTTTTTTGAGATGGGGTTTCTGTCTTGTTACCCAGGCTGGAGTGCAATGGCGCGATCTCGGCTCACCGCAACCTCCGCCTCCTGGGTTCAGGCAATTCTCCTGTCTCAGCCTCCTGAGTAGCTGGGATTACAGGCACGCGCCACCATGCCCAGCTAATTTTTTTGTATTTTTAGTAGAGACGGGGTTTCACCATGTTAACCGGGATGGTCTCGATCTCTTGACCTCGTGATCCACCCGCCTCGGCCTCCCAAAGTGCTGGGATTACAGGCTTGAGCCACCGCGCCCGGCCCTTCCCTCCCATTTTTTTCTTTCGTGGTTTTACCTTTCCCAGAGCACCCTCTTGAAAGACACTCTCCCAGCAGCAGCAGTAATCTCCTGGTCCTGTGTTTGCTCCTGGTCCTGAGTCTTGGCTTTGCTCCTTTGTAGCTAGCTGGCTGACCCTGGGACCTGCTTCTCCCCAGGAGCCTGTTGTCCATGGGCCGAATGTGGTCCTAAAATGCTCTGTCTTACAGGGGCCAGGCATGGTAGCTCATGCCTGTAATCCCAGCACTTTAGGAGATGGAGACGGGCAGGTCACTTGAGGCCAGGGGTTTGAGACTGGCCTGGCTAACATGGCAAAACGCTGTTACTACTGAAAATACAAAAATTAGCCAGGCTTGGTGGTGGATGCCTGTAATTCCAGCTACTCGGAAGGCTGAGGCAGGAGAATTGCTTGAACCTAGGAGGTGGAGGTTGCAGTGAGCTGAGATCATGCCACTGGACTCCAGCCTGGGCAACAGAGCAAGACTCTGTCTCAAACAAACAAAAATACTCTGCCTTACAGAGTTCTTCAGTATAAAAGAGAATGCATCTAAACCTCTTGGCGCTGTGCCTGGCTCATAGTAAGTGCTCAGTAAACACCAGCTGCTGCTATTGTGGTGTTAGCGTCAGCATTGTTGCTGTGAGACCCTGCACTTCCTACTTAGCCTTGGAAAAATCAGTCTTCACCTTAATGCCATGGGCTACTGCTTCTCTTTTCAGGGCTTTGTGGAGGAGGGTGGAGCTGGAGAGACATGTGGGAGTCTGTCAGGGTTACATCCCCACCGTGGGGCTGAGGCCATGCTGACTGCCTTGTGTGCTTCCAACCTG